GATCCCAAGGAGAGGGGCCGCTATCGGTGCCACGTGGAGCACGATGGCTTGCAGCAACCTCTGGACCTGGAACTGAAGGGTGAGAGGCTGCAGGGAGGGAAAGGCTGGGCTCTTTTTACAGCTGGAGGATTATGGGAGAGAAATTGTGCCCAGATATATAATAATAATAACAACAACAATAATAAATAGTAGTAGTAGAATTGGAAGGGACCTTGGAGGTCTTCTAGTCCAATCCCTGCTCAGGCAGAAAACCCAATACCATTACAGACAGATGGTTGTCCAGTCTCTTCTTAAAAACTTCCAGTGTTGGAGCATATACAACTTCTGGAGGCAGGTTGTTCCACTGATTAATTGTTCTTTCTTCTTAGATATAGGTTCCTTCTCTCTTTGATCAGTTTCCATCTATTCTATTCTATTCTATTCTATTCTATTCTATTCTATTCTATTCTATTCTATATGTCTCCTATGACGTAAAGACATCTGACATTTCTTAACTTGGTAGACCCCTTATCTTTCTCGCTGTTTGAGATCTTTTCCTCCAATAAGTAGATATTTTGTGGTTCCCATGGAGTGATTTGTTCTTTCTCCCAATACAGTTCCAGGATCCAGTTCCAGTCTGGGGCTTATCATCGGTGTTAGTGTGGCTGGCGTTATCTTGGCGTGTGCAATTTCTGGGATTTTGACATTTCTCAGTAAGTATCCCTTTCTGGGTGATTGAAAGATGGGTCAATTTCTCCCATGTGTCTCCCTTTGGGGAGCTAGCTAACTTGTTTGCTTACTTGCTGCTTGCTTATTTATTTATGTATTCATTTATTTATTACCAGACTTTATTATTTTCACAAATAACTCAGGGCTGTAAACATATCCAACACACCTTCCTACTATTTTTTTCTAGCCCAGTGCCTTAACCACTAGACCAAACTGTTTCTCTTCTGTTTCTGGGCTTCCTTTTTCCCTGTTTTCCCAGCCGACAAGAAGCATCTGAGATCTCAGCCTCTTGCTGGGATTCCAGTCTCAGTTCAGCTGAGTCCAAGGTTTGGACAGTCCTGTCTTCTTCTGAGTTGGGAAGAGGCATTCCAGTTCTGTCCCTTTCAAAGGCTTTGTTCAAAGAGAAGGGCTTCAATGAAAATCTTCCTCCCCTCCCAGCTGCTGCTTCTGCTGCTGCTTTCTCCATTTCCCTTCCCTCCTAGGGAATGATCCATTGATCATTGATAATCCAGTGATCCTGTCAGGGAATTGTGCAGCAGCTGTCCAAATAAAGCCAGAGAGGCTAACACGAACTTGTAGGTTTATATGAATAAATATATTTAACATCTCTATATACAGCAGACTAGATAGTCAGGCAAACAGGAGCATCGTGAGGTAAATCGCGGAGCCCAAAAGGCACATAGAAGAAAAAAGGGGAAAATGGGACATTCCCCCTCCGCTGCACCCACAGCAACCAATCACAGTGCAGTTTGCCTCAGGCAGGAGCCAGCACTCTCCAACCAATCGATACATAGTTAAAAACAAATATACATGACGTCTAAAGAAATGGCAAGTCAAAATGAACAGGCACGTAGCTGCCAAAGTTTCATTCTTGACATATCGCCTCCCCAAAAGAAGAATGAATCTGGAAATACATAAAAACAAATATACATGCATATAGACATGGATTAGGAATTAACCCTTCATCCATGTGTATATGTATGTATATTTGTTTTATTTGTTTAATTCTATGAATTGGTGCCTGGGAACCTCAAAGTTAATTTTGCTTTGACATTACCATGCCGTGTATTCAATAAACAGTAAGATTTTCAGAAACAGAATGAACCTGATGATTTATTTGGATCCTCAAGCTGGATGTTGACAACAACCCCTGTGTGTTTTGGCTCACTGCACAACCCCACTGCTCCAGCTACTAAATTTAAATATCTTAACACGATCCACTTGTATCAAAGCCAGGATCCTGGGATTCTCTCTCCTAAGAGAGGGACTGATTTGATCCTATTTGGAAGATCTGTTGCCATGTAAGGTTGGAATGCTTTGATTCTTGATGCGTCGGCAATGTCTTTTGGTTGGATCCAACATTATTATTATTATTATTATTATTATTATTATTATTATTATTATTATTATTATTATTATTATTATTATTACTACTACTACTACTACTACTACTACTACTACTACTACTACTACTACTACTACTACTACTACTACTACTACTACTACTGTCTCTGTTCCTGCTCCTCCTTTTGGAAACAGGGCAATAATCTCCCCTCCCTGAGATTTGGTTAGTCCCAAATAGAGATGGGAAGGTCTGAGGGAAAAAAACCCAAAAAAATGGGAAAAAACAGGGGGTGGGAGTTCTGTTTTTTCCTCTTTTGTTTTCCAAAGCCATTTAGAAAAAACCAGACAAATGTTTTTTTCCCAATTTTCCTGTTTTTTTTTTCAGGCGTTCCCATCTGTCTTCTTTTTGGAGAACATTAAAGTCCTATTTGTTTCCCCCAGACCTTGGAAACCCTTTTTCAGATTAACACATTTTGTTAAGAGGCACCAACTTTTGCAATATGCATCTTTTGAAGTGAGGTCATTAAAGTTTACGCCTTCCCATCATTCACCGGCTTCCCCTGGGCTTTTCTCCTAACATCTCCTCTTTTTGCTCTCTCTTTCTGCAATCTAGGATTCAGGAGAGGAGAGGATGATCCCAGGAATGAACCTTCTCGTGAGTAGAATTATTACCCAATATTTTTGTGTTTTGCATGCGAGAATCAAAGTCCAGGCTGTGAAATGTATCTGAGAGCAAATGCAAGCAAAGATGTTGGTGAGAATGATGGGCGAGTAGGATTGGGAAACAGTCCAGGTTTAAAATTTTCTCAGCCTGCTATAAAAATATTATGGGCTGCCTGGAGCCCTTCAGGCAGGTTTGTCTGTTTAGATTTGTATCCCATCTTTATTATTTTATTTTATTACTGTCAAAGTTCCGACTGACGAACCCAACCAAGCAAACACCTTCGAGAAATTCCAATCTCTTAATGTAAAACT